GCTAGCCGTTGCTAATGCGCAAGGTTGATGGGTGAGATACAGTCGCTGCGGGCTCAAGAGTGCACTATTGAGATGCGAGAACACTCGTCTTGCCAGGGACGGACTTTCTGGTCCATCGAAGGCTTCTAGTGTCTGCAAGTAGTTGATACATAGGCTGTACGGTAAAGCGACGTGCGTATCGAAACCAAGCGTGCGCAGCAGTTCCGCCTCGGTTGCGTAGAGACATTCACGTCGACTCTCGTATTCGCTTTCAGAGAGGGTCCAGGTCGACTGCTTCGGATCGTCGCCAGCAGCATACCCTGTGTAGTCACCTTTGAGATCGTTCACAAAATCAAAGACAGTGAGAAGTTGTCTTGGAGAGATCGAGTGAGTTGATGGCTTTGCCGTCAGATACAATGCTGCTGCTGCCGTATCCTGTCAAAGTCAGCTTCATTAGACTGAAAATCTGAAGTGGAAGGGTGACCCAGCTTACACTCGGATCTTGCTTGAGCATACTGATGCCATGTTCGCCCGCCCAGCAACGCTGCAAGATTACGATCGATTGTGCTATGATTTCCTGTGGCAGTCGCAACAGCATCCCAGCGGCCTGGTTCAGCCGAGAGCTCTCGTACCGTATGGAATCCTCAAGATCCCTTGGCAACTCATCTATCTGTGAGGCCGAGGTCTCAAGCTGGCTAGAAGTGGCCAGTGGATTAACCAAGTGCGAGGGCTCCATGATGGGTGCCATATCGTCGATCTTAGGTCGCTTTGTCTCGCTCCAAACGGTTGGACACGCCTCGATCCTCGGGTCAAACGTCTTGTGGCGTTATGGTATGGAGTTGTGAGACGCTGCACGCACGAATTTGAGGCAAGGTCGTTGTCGCAAGCTTCTCTTCAAGTGAGGTTGGTTTCGGCAGATCGCCTCGGCCCGTTCGTTTGATCTTCTTCCGTGAAACACAACGCCCTCTTCTTCCTCAACCAGAAACACTCTCATTACTCAGGACCACGCTGTCCACCTAGCATGACGTTGCCACCGTCGCCGATAAGTTCCGTATCACTACTCTTTGATTGCTATTCGCAGGGCTCCGACCACGATGGGCCCGCACGCCGCAGATTCGCCACACCATCGAGAACGGAAACATGATCCCCAAACGCTGCCGGACGACTTCCGAGTCAAGCAATCTGTGAGATGAAGGATGGTGAGCCAAGAGGCAGGCACTCTACGTGAGTTGGGGTATATAGCATCTCTCCTTCACCTCTTTTCCTCCAGGCTTCATCATTTAACGAACTTCCAGCTCAGCAGCCATTCTGTCTCTATCGCTCTGTGAGCACCACATTCGTTTTCATACCTTCAGTCCTTACTAGACAGAGCACTGGTGCTCGTTCATATCAAAACTCCTACAACTCTAAAACCCAGACACCACCAGCAAAATGAAGATCACCAACGTAGGCCTGGCCACAGCTGGTCTGCTTTCCACTGGGTTCGCTCAAACCGAGTCGTGCAACGTACCGGCATACACGGTTACCGTATGTTGTTGGGGCCGAATCAATTATTCGTTGGCTAACCAGATAGATCACGGCTGCCCCGATAGCATCTCAGTACAAACCGGCGGACACGACCACCACACTCGTAAGTCAAACCAAGCACTCGTGTACACAGTGCTGTCCCACCTGACAATGCCACTCGCCTCCAGGTATCGACGTTGACAGTCACGGAGACGGAGACTACCACCGTATATGCAAGCTCAACCTCGTCTGTCGTTGGCCCGATCGGTACCGGTAGCCCTCCATACCCAACGAGCTATGGTCCATGGAACAGCACCTTCTCCGCTGGGCCAACTGGTTTACCATCTGGCTACGCACCGCCCAGCGGCACCGTGTCTGTTGGCCCCATTGCGCCCCTGCCCACTGGCTACGGCCCGCCGAACGCTACCATCTCGGTGGTCGCCCCCGGAACTGGAGCTCCTTACCCGATCACTGACCTGCCAACCTCATCCAGCTCGGTCGCAGACCCGGCATCTGGAAGCAACACCACGACGAAGTGCACGACCAAGATAACCCTGACCCGCTCCAAGTCCACCAGCGTTGGACCGGTCACTGGCATCCCACCGCCCGTGGGCTACCCATCCGCCTCGGCTCCGACGCCATCTGCCAACAGCACATTGGTGGCACCAACAATGCCGGCAACATACCCATCGCCATCTGGGCCCGTCCTCCCGCCGCCGGCTAACAGCACCGTTGTGGCACCAACAATGCCCGCCAGCTACCCGCAGCCGTCTGGTCCTATCCTTCCGCCGGTAGCGAACAGTACCGTGGTTGACCCTACGATGCCCACTAGCTACCCGTTCCCATCTGGACCAGCTCCTCCACCATCCGTCAACAGCACGTTGGTTGCGCCGACCATGCCCGCTGGCTACCCCACTGCATCGCTTCCTATCCCGCCACCGTCAGCGAACAGCACCTTGATTGCGCCTACGATGCCAGCCTCTTACCCAACAGCCGGCTCAAGCATAGTGTCGGCCATCACACCCTCTGCATACGTACCTGTCCCGTCAGCGAACAGCACTGTTGTAGGACCAGTAGCACCATCAGTCACCCTTGCGCCAATCTATTCGTCGGCCATGGCCAACTTGACATCGGCGATCGGAAGCAGTGACTTGACCTCGATCATCCCTTCTGCATCAGTGGACCCGGTCATCTCTTCATACATTGCCAGTCTGACCTCGGCCCTGCCGGTGAGTGCATCTAGAATTGTATGATCTCAATTCCGTACTGATATGGCTCTAGGAAACTGCGCAGCCGACTGGTGCTGTCCCGACGGCGCTACCGACCCAGGTCGTCAACGGCACTGCCCCGCCGCACCCAACTAAGCCGCACGACGGCATGTCACTGAAGCAGATCTTGAAGTGGATCGCATACCTGCTGTCTCACGCATTCGAGGACCAGGCAGGAGAAGGTCAGGCGCCTCGCGCGCACCCTCGCGCTTTGGCAAACTGAGGTGGACAGTGTCGCGTCTAGTTGATCACGCTGGCAGTGTTCAACTTGATTAGAGGAGTTGTTATTTCTGGAGCAGATTTGCTGTGAGCAAGGTTGTTTGTATCTGTATTTGAATTCGTTATGCATACTCTCGTGCATCGATATATGAATCATGATCTTTACAACTACTCCTTCCTTCGATTTCCTACCTTATCCTTCACTCAATACGAATCGTCCTAAATTGGACGTTCAACTCTTGGGTCATGCACAATCTTCGGCCCGTCCCTAGCGCAGCATTCCCGTCATCGATACTTTCGTTCCTTCCTCTTTGCAGTCACCAGCATCTGCAGACTTCACTACGCTCAACAGAATCTGGATCTAGTCGACGTCCTCTGCATTTTTTCAAGATGTCGCGAGGCGGGCGGGGCGGGTTTGGCGGTCGCGGCGGTGGAGCAGGAATGATGGCCGGAGCCAAGCTGCCGTTCGACGTCGATCCAGAACTCGAAGTTGCTCAGTACGACCCTGCAGAACTGACAAAACCTACCGACGAGCACCCATTACAGAGGCTCTTCCCAGTATGCTTCCGTTTCGCACTCTTCTCCCATGATGATTACCTAACTCACTTTAGCCCTATCCCGGCAGCCTTCCAAATGTGCCACCACCGACTGCTGCAGAGAGAAAGTTGGTCTCCATCTACCGTGAGATCATCGCCGAGAAGCATGCCAGCCTCGCATATACTGGACCTCCCGGCTCACTCAAAGCGCTGTGTGGCAAGCGTACAGCTGCAGAGTTCGACCCGTTCGAGGATCAGCAGACCTACGGCAAGAAGTATGAACGCAGACCTTTTCGCTTAGCAGACCCGAAGAAGCGCAAGTGGCAAGCACCGCATCTCTTTCCAAAGGAGCTCTGGGAGCATATCGGCTATAATCCCGATGCAGGCGAGGACGAGCAGCATTCGCGAAAGAAGATTGTGCTGAACAAGAAAGCTACGCTTGACAAGCTGGCAAAGTTCGACGAGGACACAGAAGGGGGTGCGAATGCTGAAGATGGAGAGGAGGAACCGGTCAATGCTGACGAGGACGATGCTGATATTGAGGCGCCGCGGGATGATGACTTTGACGAAGATGAGGATGATGACGCTAACGATTACAATGCCGAACAATACTTCGATGATGGCGAGGACGATCACGATGAACCCGGTGGCGGCGACGAGGGAGGCGGAGAAGATTGGTGAGAGCGTGGTCGTTTTCGTGGGAGTTAATAGGGTTTTGTAGATGCGATACTTGTGGCGTTGGCTTCTAAGGAGTATGTTGGCTTGGTGGTTTGCAATGGGTACACGCAAGATCACTCCATCCACCCGTCTGCTCTTAGTTGCGCTGCGCCCTGATCACTCCATCGTGCTGCCGTTCTACCCACCACGCCCGTCCGCTCACCTTTCCTTGATCGCCCTCGCCGATGTAAGAGATGACTATACTCTAGGGGACCTGATCCTTATAGCTTGCAGCTCCTACGCAAAAGGCGAGCCATGCCATGGTCGTCGCCTTGCTTAGCTCTAGTCGCCCTCGTCATTGTCGTCACAATCGCGCCGTGCGCATTGGCGTGTTTAGTACGGGAGATGTTGCGCGAAAGGCACTTTGCCTTTGCATCCTGTATGTCAAGCATGCGGGCAGACACGAGGTTGGTGGGTGGTGTTGTGGACAAGGCCAAGGAACTCAGAAGGATCAGAGTGGAGCATGCATGTGATTGTCTTGGCGCCCGACCTCACCTCTTCCTGCTGAGGGGCTGCAAGCAAGAAAAATGGAGACACCGCTGCAACCAACGATCGCCCTACAGCTGAATGACATCCAATAGGCCTCTATACAGTGCGTAGACGAATTATGAGGCGCTGTAGCAGTACCTGGCTGCTGCAGTAGCCTTGCCTTCGACCCACACCAGCCAAAAACCATGGCAGTCCAGGCTCGCGAGTCGCCAGGAGCTCGGCGGGTCTCCGGCTGTAAAAATGGGGCTATATATATTATCAATAGCTTCACCTTTCACAGCCTGGGGGTGTGGCTCAGTGGTAGAGCGTCCGCTTTGCATGCCTGCATAGGTTATCAACCGCTGCGGAAGGCCCTGGTTTCGATCACCAGCGTAAGCATTACTCACGGGATGGCCGTTGGAATGTTACTAACCCTATCATCAGTCCTCCATCAATTGTAATCCACAATTACTTTTTGCCCTCATAGGTTCGATTTTTGCTTCTGGTCGGCCAATCGTCCAAGCCACTAGACGAGAACATTAATGCCAGCAGAGACGAGAGTGTGCAACATTCGATCCGACATGTCGCCCATGCTCAGATCTCCAATGAAGATATCAAGGTGTTTGCGGTCCTTCTCGAGCAACAATGAGGCGAAAGTCCTGAAGTGCGAAAGTGTTATTTATGTTGGGAAGCTAGAGAATGGTCAGGCTTTTGACTTGGTATGATAAAGAATAGGAAGTACGCCGGCCACATCGGTCGATTGTGGTTTCGGGGCTTCGAGATCGGCTAGAAGACGTTAGCACGTATTATGAGAACGGCCAGTCCAGCGGAGCCTACTTTCAGCCTACTTGATGGCGTCCTAAGTAGCGCCTGGTCTCGGATCGTCAGGCTCTGGCATGTTCCACTGATTTGCGCCTCTGACTTGCGTTGAGTGTTCGAAGCCTGAAACCAAGAGGTACTGACTGGTCATTTGGACTCTTTCTGCCGTCACTCTTGCACAAGCTGGCCATGAATTATGGATACCACAGTGGAGCATCTTCGCGATGGTATACGGGGGCCAGCATGCTTGTCATGGGAGGTGGCGAACACATACATCGATCTTGCGTAGGAAGTTCTGGCCGAAACCATCCGACGATGGGAGTCCTTCGGAGGTCTCACTGGCCTTGATGCCTTTTGAATTTACACGGGATTCTGCGAAATCTCGAGTCTCACGGCTCTCGAGCTTACAGAATTCTCTCAAGGCTTCGACAATACACTGCGGCTGCATTTGAGGAATAAAGGCAAGGATGACTCGGCCTATGCAGCTGGTCCAAGCACTCTGGAAGCCCTCGACGCAAATATCCTTAAGGACTGGCCTGCGACCCAAGTGGAGTATGAGCGTACCCGTACAGAGGTGAGGAGACTGCTGCAATTATATAAAGCCCAACAGCATCATGGCGAAGAAGGTAAACGTTGGCGCAGATCCGGAAGCACTCCCGCGTGTCCTTAACCAAGAAGGTCTCGCCACCGCAGAGGAGGACGCTGCTGCGTCCCAAGATGGTATCGACGTGGCGGCTTTGTTCGATTACGATCGAATGCAGACCTATCTGGAGGATCCTGAATGCCAATACAGGTCCTTGCACGGCGCTCTAACGACGCTAAGGAGGAAGCTCCAGCACGACCGTTGAGATTTAATCATATACGGCTTGCCACCACGCCTCAGCATGAACATGTTGATCGACGGCCCAGGGCAGTTACATCTGCCCCATCGTACTTGTTTCCTGGCTTGGGCATTGGAGCGTGAGAGGTAATAACAGGGTGGAGTCTGTTCCGATCACACTGCGTGAATGGTAGAAGATGTTGCTGCCAACATCTCCGCGGTGCCATATTTTGCATGAATATACGCACTAAGCTTTATGCTTACATGTATACCTCGTGTATGCCACTGGGACCTTGCTCATTGTAATCTGTTCGACTCATGTAGCCTTTGCTTGCACCCCCATCCACCACGAACAGCACCTTCGCTGCCACCTGGGCACCCAAGAACGTAGCCTCGTCGTACCCAATCTCCTTCCACTCCGGAAAGTATTCTGGGATCTTAGCCAGCTTCACACTCGTCGGCGTCTGCGCATGACTAGAGTGCAGATTTGACGAAGATGACATTCCGGGCTGACTGAGTGTTGATAGTGATGGATGCAGACCTGGGTTCTGCGCGGTGGTCGCGGCGAGCAGAAGCGGGTTCACACCACCACCGTGGTGTGGCGCGCTTGGAAATACCTGCTGCGGTGTGTTCGCTCCGGTTGCCATTGGCGTAGATAGGTTCGACGGCAGCTCGGATGTGAATATGGTAGCGGAGGATGGCGAGATGATGTACTTACGCTGTATGGTGTCAATCAATGCTTCCTTGAAGCCATTGACTTTCGAACCGTTCCCGACAATGATGAGCGAGTCCCACAGATCGCTACGCCTGCTGATGCCACCAACATCCGGACACGCTTGAACCGTGCGATGGATTGCATCAGCCAGTCGCTCAAGCAGGCCACCCGAAGCAGCCTGGAAGCGCTCAATTCCAACCTCAATTTCTCGGCGGAAGCCGCTACCAGCTGCGAGTGTGGCGCCGTCTTGTGGAAACAGCCCGCCGTCTGCTGGCTTGTCGGAGACTGCTGACTGCGGTTCCGGCAGCTTGTTAGACCCGTCACCCATCGCAGACTGCATGTCTGCCATATTCTGGCTGCTCATGCCGGCCTTCTTCATCGCATCATGCAACGCAAAATCCTCGTACACGAACGTGTTACGTGCACGCTTGTGGTTTGGTAGCTTGGCAGGTTTCGTTGCGGCCAGTAGTTGTGCATCGCTGCCCTTCTTTTGCTGCTGTCTCGCCGCCAGCCTCTCCTGCTTCTCGCGCTCTTTCTGTGCGAGATACTCGGTCATGTTGCCTCCGGTCACGATGCTGGCAATATCCAGAACGCCCTCTTCGTCTTCAAGCTTCTTCTCTTCGCCGACTTGTGTATTGGGTCCAGGTCCTCTTGGTAGCTCGCCAGCCATTGATTGCTTCCTCTGACCAGGTGCATGGCCATCCGCGCCTGTCGATGCCGCTGCAGCAGGATTCGATGGCACGTCCGAGCTGGTCGCATCGCTGTTGGGCAGGTCGGTATCGCCAGGAAGTATCTCACAGATACTGGTCTTCTTCAACTGCTCACACACCTCACGTGTGAAACCCTTCTTGCTGGTCAACAGCTCCATGAGCCTGTCCGTCATGGCGTCGCCACCGCAACCAGGTACTGCCACGGAACGTCCGATATCGTGCAGCACCGAGTCAGATATGCACGTCACGTCCGCTTTGTTGAGACCGACATCGACTATAGTCGCAGTCATGGTACCGTAGGCATACGAAGCAGCCATTGCGGCATCAACCATCGTGAAAGCCGGCACCTTGAACTTCTCGAAGAAGAACTGCGTTACCTTCTCGTGCTCCTTGGTCGTCCACACCGGGTCTGCGATGAGTACGATTGGCGTATGAAAAGGCGGATTTATGGTGTTGTAAACGTGTGTCATCAAGGCGTAAAAGCACTGCCAGTCCACGATCTTGCCGCTGCGTATTGGCCATATTGCGCCCTCTTCCGATATGCGATCTTCCTCCCATTCTGCCTCATCGTCGGGGTCCGGCTGGTCGTCGTCGGCATTTGTCGCAACGCCGCTGACTGGTGCTGTGGGTGCCGCTGCGGGTTTCTCTTTTCGTCGCACCTTGATCGGCTCATATTCTCCTTCCTTCTCAGCTTGGAACATGCGCGACCGTATGCGATGCCGTGCTGGTGTGAAGGACTCGGGCAGGCCCAGCTGCGCGAGAGTGGTTTCGGAGCCTGGCGCAATGATCTGGAGTGTCGTATGTCAGTCGCGTCAGTGTACATCTTCGCGGGAGACTCACTAAAAGCTGGTCATCTCGAAAGCCGGGCATTTTGGCGGTCGTGAACGGACTTTTGAGCTGTGGTTGTTCACGCGACAACGCGTCAAGCTTTCGCGACGTTCACAAGCGAGAGAACTGCCGGAGCTAGCGGCACTTGATTCGCGCTAGTACTCGTGCCAAGCAGCCTTGTGCTCACCTCGTCAGAGAACACGATCGCAAACACCCCATTCGGCATAAACGGAAGCTCTGCCTCAAAGTTACCCCAGCCCCGAAAACAGCTCAGCTAAGCCGAGAGTCGACGTGTGGCATTGATCTATGTGCTCGACCTCAGGCGACAGCACTCCACGAGGAAGGACATTGTACCCTACACAGTAGAATGGGTTCCAGTCGCCTTCCACTTCATGCTGGGCTACCTCTGGAGCTCTGGCTACGCATCTTTGAATGCACCCCTGATCCAGCACATCTCTGGACAAAGGGGCGACAGGTCTGCGGAACATGGCACAGTCAAATTCCAAAGACACTGGCGCAACAGCTTCTTCCACAGATGTCTATCAGCTACGACATTGGGAAGCAGTCACGTCACGGTATGATAACGCAACTGTACCTCGTCATGACTTTCGAGCAGTTTGATCCGAATAGCCCGCTTCGTTGCACCTTCAAGCAGAATTCTACGCGTATGGGCCATGAGTACACTAATGTCAGCTCCCAATCCATCAGTAACTGGTTACATCCATGGGCAGATCTTGTGGAAGATTACAATTACGACCCGTTGATCTTTGAAGGCCGTGCTCAGGAGCCATGGCACACCGTCTCCCTAAGTGGACAAGCCAACGACACATTGCTACCACACGTCAAGCTGGACCCCTCTCCTGAGGTAAGCTTTGAATGGCACGGGATGTTCGACTGCTTCTTCAAGGAGGTAGCTGAGCAGAAGCGGCGCACCACACTGTGGACCGAAGACTTCAACGACGCCTTCTTCGCGGGCATGCACCACGGACTGCATCCGCATGCTGCCGTTACTAGCCCTCGACGCGCTGCTCTGTTTAACATGCACATAATGGTACGCAAACAGGTACGACGTGAGAGGCTCACGAAGCTACTTGACTATGCGGACGTAATCTCTGATCGGAAAGATGTCGACTATGGCGTGGAGACCGAAGCACTCCAGCGCATCATGGACCACGTGGACGAAGCAGGCCTTCTCGGTGATCACAATGGCACAATACTGTCTAGCAATTCAAGCGGGTGGCGTAAAAGCTATCGATGACGATCAAACAGCTGAGCGGCTCCAAAATCACTGTCGGCGGTGTTAGCCGGCAGTAACACCAAGTTCTCGAGTTCATTGGCTTCTGACAAAGCGTCGCTGGAGGGTTCATTATCTCAAGCTTGTCGTTTCTAAAATGGTCAAGATTGTGCCGATGCTATGGAACAGTCTCGCGGCATTCACGTTGCCCGCAGCGATCTTACACACAGCTCTCATCGCCCTCGCCTACCGATCTACTCCGTTCCCGGACCC